ACAATTGCTGTGGGATTGTAAATTACAGTGACCTTTAATTATTGTCTTGCATCCGAACTTAGGATGTATAGTATATTTTTACTTTTGCAGGTCTTTACTTACGGTATACTTGTGGTTTACTTCTTATAGTTTGTGGGGGCGGTGATTTGAGTTAGTGTTACGTTTTTGGCCGAGTGAACTTAAAAATAAGGTAAGTTTACTTAGTTATGAAGGCACAAAAGAAGAGAGAATGAATGATCTTGCTGGCTATGCGAAAGCACAAACTGCGCAAAAATTACAGTTTTTATTGGTTTAAAAAAATTTCCCTTCCCAGATTCAAAGAATTTTACCCTTTCTTCATGGGCAGCTGGATTACTTTTTCGCCTCTCTTTTTCTTGGACCTTCATCTAGACATAACTAGTAATCTTATTATATTTAAGTTGTTTCATCTCTATCAAAAAAAGAATACTACTCAACTCTCTGCTCCTGTGCGCGGGTACCATAGTACTATGGCTGCATTTTGGAGTGGTTTTGTAGAATGAATTTTCGAAAGAAATGATTCTTAAAAAGTGGAAGCTTTTTCTCTATCAAGTTTTTCTTAAAAAGTGCATTTCAAGTAAAAATGCATCTACAAAGTACCTTGCAAACGCTCCCAAGTGCTTTTCTCTCCCAAAAAGATTTCTATTTCAATGAAACACACAAAATAGATTAGAAGCATTTTTGGGTTTCTGAAAACACTTTTGACAGTGCCAACTGCCAAAGTATTCCCAAATACATTGGGTTAATTTGTTTTTCAAAAAATTTAGCGCAAACAAGCACTGTGAAAGATGTTTCAAGGTCCCATTCCCAAAAGTGTTTTTGTGTCTCTTTGTAGTATTGGATTTAAATAAACAAGAGAGTGTTTTGGTAGTGAGGAAGCACTTGGGAAGTTCTTTCAAGAAACTCACATAGCTCAAAAATGCTTCTAGAAGATGCTTAAATTCATGCCTTACATTCATGTTCGGATTGCACCAATCCGTAGCCTGTAAAACTTTGCAGTTGCAATTTACACAAAGGGGTTTGGTTAGAAAACAAGTTAGTTCATGTCATTGGCACGCTGTATTAAACATGAAACGTCACATTTGTTATTGAACTTCCAGATTGTAACTGAATATCACCTCTAATGCTACAAATCAATGTTCAATGTTACATATCTGATGTTTCACGTATAAAAATCTCATCTAGTAACGTTATCTCCATCATATATGTGACGTCCTTTACTCAAGTTTTACCAACTCCTCTGCGGGACTTAACCTTGGAGCTGAGGGCCAAGCTAATAGCTATATTCTTTATTCTGACACCGAAGATCACCATTATGCTTTTTATGATTAACAATCTTCTTGATAGCAGCTCTGCATAATTTTACTTATATTCTTATTTATTGCAGCTGGCGAAACATATGTGAGGTCTTAATCTATCGTGAATAACATTATTGTCTTCATTTCTGATATTTTTCTGCAGGTGTGGTCCATGAAAGTCATGGCTCCAAAATATCAAGAGTTGTCTGAAAAATACTCGGATGTTGTCTTTCTAAAGCTCGATTGCACCAAGAGACAAGGTCATTAGTTTGTTGCTACATATTTTATTTTTAATATCTTTATTATCAGTTCTGCGACGAGTTTATGTAAGAAAACGTCACACTTATAACATTGAACAAGTTAGGCTGATACTACGCATACAAATTTTTTCATACAAACTAACGTGACAGTACTGATGCGTTATTTGTTGGAAAACAATCCCGATATGGTAGTAGCTACATGAAAAGTAGTTGTTATATAAAACATCTGGCTTGAGGATCGGTGTCGGAGCATAGCCTTTTTCGGTAGTGAAGTCGGACTAATATTATTCATACAAACCTTTTATCAATCTGATGTGATAGTCAAGTGGGTTACATCTGTACAAATAACGTTATCCCGAAATGGTAGCGGGATATGGTTCTCTCTCACTTTCTCTGATGTATTTATAAATTTGAATAGCAGCCACTGGCGAAAGAGCTTGGAATAAGGGTTGTTCCAACCTTCAAGATTTTGAAAGACATAAGGTTGTAAAGGAGGTGACTGGTGCCAAATTTGATGATTTAGTTGTTGCCATTGAAATGTTAGATCAAGCTGAAAATTTCGTCTTTCACTTGTTTTCCCTGTAAACTATTAACACTATAATGAACAATATGTGGACTTGAGTATGTATTTAGCTCAGTTGAAATACTGGAAAGAAAATTTGCTTATGTGTACCATACAGCCGACAAGATACGGTAATGCTGAAAGTTTTATTTATTATTTCTTTGTGATGAGGGTATTCGGGCCAGTTTTGGTGATTTCAACTAATCTTCGGAGTTTGAAGTTAACAATCGAGTAATCTACCAGTGGTCAACAATATTAACACTACGGGTAATCGAACTTAAAACCTTTTGAGTAATACATTTACGCACCACTCAATGATTAGCGTTGAAAGTTTATCATATGTAACAAATGTATTATGGTGAACATTGAACCAAATGACGTGTTTAGATAAATAACAACCCCATCTTTGGATTTAATTGTGAGAAAGTTTATGATAACAAACGTATTATATTAACGATATTAAGTTAATACATTCATGATATATAAGTATTCAATTTAAGAACGATTTGATTATAATAATTTAAAGATTTGATTATATTAATAAGATAAATAAGATGAAGAAAAAGAGTTTATATGTGACATAGTCCGTTTTGTTAAGTTTAAGAATAGTATTTTATTGTGAATTGATTTAATCAAATATGATAGATTTTATAATGTGTTTGATATTTTTTGGAAAACTTTTTTTTTAAATTATTTAGAATATTTTTAATCTCCTATATTTGTTAATTTAACTGAATACTTCATAATAAAGCTTATAATTAATAAAAACATCCCTTCCACCCAACTATTGTTGGTAACCAACCACCACACCTCGGACGGTGGTTGAAGTCGCTAAATGAAACAACCGACTAGATGTGGCCAATTGTGCGTTGATATAGTCTTTTCTAGCAATTTACCATGAATTTGATAGGAAACACCATATCTTTAACCGTAGATCTGGATAATAAATATAATTGGATAAGATAGTAGAATATGATAGAGTTGAAAAGTTAATCAAAAAATGATATTATAAAATAGTTGATATGGTATTATCTATAGTTAAAATATTTCTTAAAAAATTGTGAATGAATTTAATAAATTCAATCTAATTAATATCATATCATATATAAAAGGTAATATTTCCAAATTTAATGAGAATCATAGATTTAATTAAAATCATATATGAATTTATAAAATTCAATCTAATTAATATCATATATAATAATAAGTATATTTCCAAATTTAATGAGAACATGATTTAATTAAAATCTTATATGAATTATAAAATTCAATCTAATTATATCATATCATATAATAAAGTAATATTTCCAAATTTAATGAGAATCATAGATTTATGAATATTGATTTCACTTTAATTAAATTAACTTTAAACATCCTCATCTGTGAGATCCCATACAAAAACATTCTTCACAAATCATTTGGCTACTTTATATTTTAATTTAATTTAATTTATTATTAAATTAATTTATTTTTTTAATTCACTTCGGGCTCTGGCTAAAGAAAATATATTCTACCAATCACAGCTGTCCATGTCATCATGCTTGACACGTCCTCAAATCACAAAAATACCCCCCAATTCTCCACGTGAACCATGTGATCTTATATAGAAATCTCAATGAATTATTTTATTTTATTCTTCCTTCTTAAAATCTCATTTTTTAGAATTAAAATAAATGCCACAATAATTAGCATATTTATTCCTTCTTAAAATATTACAACTCATGTGATTGGTCAAACTGTTTTTACGAACTTAAAATTTTATAATTAGAAAATATTAATTTATTAAAGATAGGCTTTTAATATCAAACATTCACTTTGAATTAAAAAAATATTTAAGCATATTAAATATTAATTATAGCCAATAAAAAATGTCCAATAAGCATGCGTGACATTTGAAATTACTATAATACCCTACTCAAAGTCCCAATAGAGTAGCTAGCCCTGTGATATCATTAAATAAGCGAAGACTTTTTCTTTCTTATTATTTTTTTAATTTTAATAATAAAAAATCAGGACCCCTTCCTATCAATTATAAGGTTTTAGGTAAAGTCAAGTATTTAATTACTTTTGAGTCCATATTTTATTAATATGTAATTGAAATCTAAGATATATAAATTACAACTAAATCAAGATTTGGTTTTATCTCAATATTTTTGATGGGTATATTATCCATTAGATATTTATTAAGTTTTATGAATATATAAAATATTTTTTATCGTCAAACTAATTAAAACTTTAGAAGCAAAGGTGTAGCTGAGATTTCTAGCCAATAGAGTCAAAAGATCTAAGTTCATAAATGATCATTATCTTATCTTATGATCTATAAAAGAATAGTATTTCTTGATAAATCTAACTAAATAAGAGTAAATAATTAAAAAGAGGAATGAACTGAGAAAGAGGAAAACGTTAAAAATTAAAAAAATATTTTCGAATCCCGGGACCAATAATATTTTAGTGAAGTCAAAATTGTTAATTACTATTAAATGTATACCTATTTTTACTAATTTAATAATTTCAACGGGGTCAAATGACCCCACTGACATTGGCTACGGCCTTATATAAAACTATAGAAGTCAATAAATTTATTTATTCTTTAATTTTCAATATGAAAGGTATCACTTTGTAATATGAAACGTTATCTTTATATACAAAAATTGTGTTATACACATACCCCAGTGATGATTTATTGCTAAAAAAATTTTAACCCTTTCCTAATGTGATTAAAAAACTGTTTTAATTTAAAATTAATATTATTTCTATATAAATATTAAACTTATATTATTATAATTCACCTTAATCTCTATAAATATTTCCTCTTATTCTTCTTCATCTCACAACAAGAAGCCATTGACAAAAACTCTCTTTTGAACTTTGAAGGATTGTTTTGTAAAGGGAATGGGTTTTGTTTCCTCTTTAGGTATGTAATTCTAAATTATATTATTTTTAAAGAATTGGGTTGTTTTTGCAATATTTTGAAACTAGATATGTGTTGGTTTAATTTTAGTGAAATATTTGTTTGTATTTTATACTAATTTTAGTGAAATATTTTATAATTTTACAATCGTTACGTTGAAATAACAGATTAAGGTATATTTTTCTATCTATATTTATTGAGTTAACTGTTTATATGTATATAACGACCTCATTGTATGATTTATTATTTATTATTTTTTAAAATAACGATATCAATAACTTCAAAAAATTACAGGGTCCTAAACGTTTGAAAACTTCCACAAACACCCCCAATTCCAAAAAAGTCAAAAGTCAAAAACTCTTGATCGTCACCATTATGTAAGAGCCTTTCTTCTCAAAACCAGCGAAAATAAAAACAGAAATCAAATCAAATTCAACTTCAATTCCAATTTCAATTTCGTTACAGAAATTCAAATGTGCGGCATCTTCGCCTACCTGAATTTCGGCGTCAGCCGTGAGCGCCGCTACATTCTCCAAGTCCTCTTCAACGGCCTCCGCCGTCTCGAGTACCGGGGCTACGACTCTGCTGGCATCTCCATCGACGACTCCCTCCCTCCCTCTGCCACCTCATCATCATCATCATCATCTTCAACTTCAATTTCCTCATCTCTTCTCGTCTTTCGCCAAGAGGGCAACATCGAATCCCTCGTCAAATCCGTCTATGAAGGTTTGATTCTTTCTTTTCTTCTACATTTGCGGGTCCGGGTCAACGATTTCGGGTTTGGTTTGATTTTTTTTAGGCGAAATTCCTAATTCGGTTTTTTTGAAGAATCCGGTCAGTTTACTATTTTCCGATGGGTATCCTTTAGTTTACTGTACGGTAATGGCACCGGACCAGTAAGGGAGTAACTTATTTTTAATTGAACAGCTAATTGACTATGATTCGGTATTTTTCTGGGCTCAATTTTCCGAGCGTATTCTTTACTTTACCGGCACTTGTATCTTGCGTTTAGAAAAAAAATTCGGGTGTCTGATCATTTGTTTAGAATTTCGGGTTGACTAGGCTGGGCATCTTCTTTACTTCACCGGGCCAGTACGAGCACTTGGACCGTGATCTGGAGGCTGGTACTGCCCACTAACATTATCTGACCAGTAAGATAGTCACTTCTTTCAATTGGACATTTAATTGACTCCCAAGACGCCTATTTTGATTTTTTTTTTATCTTTTTGGGGTATGATTCTTTGTTCTCTTGTATATTTATGGAATTCGGGTCGTCCGGTTTAAGTCAATTGGATCAACCCGAATTTAAACTTGCATTTAGACTATGATCGGAGAGCTGTTACTGGCCCTGTAATGGTGCCGTTTCAGTAAGAAATTAGCTTGTTTTATTCAACAGTTGATTGACTATGAAAGGTGCTAATTTTCATTTATTTAGTTTATTTTTTGGGGTCTGATTCTTTGTTTTCTTTTGCACATTTTTGGGAATTCGGGTTTACCCGGTTGTTAGCTTTCCATGGACCTTCTTTTATTGAAACATGAGTATTAATTTGTTTTAATTGAACAGTTAATTTACTATAAAGAAGCTAATATATGCATAATAATTCAAGTTTTTTGAGATTGGACTGTATTTCATATTGTTTTGTGTCGGGTTTGGATCAATACAGTCGGGTTGGCCCGGATGCTATGTTTGGTTTTGTGTGATGAAATTATGGGAAAAGTGTAGTGTTTTATTAACTTTGAAGTTGAGGATATTTGGTTGGATTTAATTTATGTTCGGTGTTTGCCCAGCTGCTATGTTTGGTATTGTGTGATGAAATTATGGGAAAAGTTTAGTGTTTTATTACCTTTGAAGTTGAGGATATTTGGTTGGATTTAATTTATGTTTGGTGTTTTGGTTAAATCGGCATGGTGGGTCAATGTCACCCACCATTTGGTCGAGTGTAATGCAATAAAGGAACCAATAATTGCTTTTGTTGTTGTGTCGTGTTGTGTTTTGTTTTCATTTTCTGTTTGTGTTTTCACTTCTTATATGGTTAGTGAGACATGGATTTGATGTTTTTTCTTTGTTTCCCAAAAAGATGGATACAGTTCAATTAAATAGGTTAAGTAGTTATGTCAAATTGGTATCTGTCAAGGTGGTATATAATGTGAATGGAGCAACAATAATTAAAAATTAATCCTATAAATTAAAGTGGATGGTGTGTCTTTCATGCATTAGTGTCATGTCAGATTGTGTGGATTAGTTTGTAAATGTAGTATTATTTTTCTCTTGGTTATTAAGTAAGAGTAAGAGATAGACCTATAAAACTAAAAAGAGGTTTGATTATAGTTTCAAGGCACATGTTAAAAACAACCAAAAGTTATGACTCTAGTCATGTGACTTGATTATAGTTTTAAGGCACATGTTAAAACGATCAAAAGTTGTAACAAGACACATGTGACTTGTAACTTGAGGCGCCAAACGTATAAATTTAAATGTTTTCCTTCTAAGCTAATGTGCACTAACTTAAAATGTTAGAATTGTTACTTGTTACAAGTTTCATGTTAGATATTAATGCTTAATGTCTACCAATATTTTACTTATATCTGGAACCAAATTAAAACCAAAGTAAAAACAAATTGCTTTGTTTGTATACATTTTTTTTTCGGGTTCCTGCAATAATTTGATTATAACTTTGGGTTGGAGCAAACTGATGTGCCTCCCCCTTTGTTTGTCTTTTTTGATAAATGTATGTTTGTTTTGGTGTCTTCAAATGTTTTTGAGGTATTGCTGTTCCTTTATGTTATAGGCAGCATTAACGGTTACTTGGATATTTTCCAGATGTTGCTGCAACGGAATTAAATTTGGAGGAGTCCTTTTCTGTTCATGCTGGAATAGCACATACCCGGTGGGCAACTCATGGAGAGCCAGCTCCAAGGAATAGTCATCCTCAGACATCTGGTGCTGGAAATGACTTCTTGGTGGTCCACAATGGAGTCATTACCAATTACGAGGTTCGGTATTACGCAAATTTCATCATACGTTTGAGCGATTGGATATCACACAAGTTTCACATTTCAGTTTTTATATAAGAAGCCTCTTTACTTGATGGGCTTTGTTCATTGGAATGAATCTTGGAATGGAATGGGCATTCAACAAAAATTTCCATTCCATTGTTTTGCCCATTTCCTAGGAATGTTGGAATTGGTTTACAATTACTAATTCTATTCCCTCATATTCTCGGCCCCGTTTACCCTAGTTGCCTAAGTCTATAAGGAGATACTGTCCATTATTTCTTTTGAAATGTATTAGTTATACCATTTAAGAGTCCTATGTTGACATTTAGTTAGTGGTGTTCCTGAAATTGAACCTTTCCTAGTTGAGTTTGGACACAAGAACTTCCTAAATCAATAAAATACTTGATGCTGAGATCTGTAGGAACATAGGCTCCCCCTCACTCAAGTTATTCATAGACAGTGTCCAGCCAATTTCATCCCTTGGTTTCCTCCATGCTTTTCTATGACTGTATAACTGATTTTTGACTTCTACTTTCTTTCAGTTTGTGGATTACTCTCATTAACATGATACATGATTTTTGCTCCTATATTAATTCCTGTGGGTTACGTTTAGGCTATGTTACTAATGCTCATTCTTATTTTTACTTAAATAGTATTTCAATTATATATCAACTTATGCTGAGAAGTATTTTCAGGTGTTAAAGGCAACACTGGTGCGACATGGATTCACCTTTGAATCTGAAACAGACACAGAAGTGATTCCAAAGCTTGCCAAGTTTGTTTTTGAAAAAGCAAATGAAGCAGAAGGTAGTTTTTTGCTCATTATCAGCTGAACTTTGTTTCCTTCAGGATCTCTTTGAAGAATCTGATATTTTAGACTTTTCATTTTTCAACTCTTACCATGCATGCCAATCATTATGTGCTTCCATAACCTCCTTTACCCTTGTCATTCCCTTTCTGCATTTGCTATTGTTTGGAAGATCTTTTGGAAGTCTGGCTATAGCAGTAAAAGATAGGGGTTTGTGTTATGGTTTTAGAATCATGCATTGTATGGGTTGTTAGCATGAGTTGAAATGAGAGTAGAAAGTCACTGTTGAATTGAGAGATAATTAAAAAAAAAAAAAAAAAAAAAAATGAGAGTAAGATAGAGATACTAAATAAGGTCATTTTCTAGTCAAAGTTTATGGCTCATTGTATTGCTGTGATGGCAACAAAAATGCTCGTGTAACTGAAACATATTCAAACAAATCTAAACATGCTCCCAAATTTTGGATGAGTGTAGCATAATTTCTTTCAGGGAGTACTATCTGTCTTACAATCATTCTGTTTTCCTGCCATTTCTATAGTCAAGGCATGTTGCATATTGCATCTTGTGAAATTGGTTTTTGGTCCTCCTGAACTGCTATATTAATTTTATATAAGATTCTAATGAAATTAAGATGACTTTAATTTTTGAGTGTTTCATTGTTTGCTTTGCAGGTGATCAGCCTGTCACATTTAGCCAAGTTGTGCTTGAAGTTATGAGGCATCTTGAAGGGGCCTATGCCCTCATTTTTAAAAGTAAACACTATCCAAATGAGTTAATTGCGTGCAAGCGTGGTAGCCCGTTGCTCCTAGGTGTCAAAGTAAGTTTATACGTGGAAAGAAAATATGCATATAGCTTAAAATTGAGCTTACAGTAGCATTGCTTCTTCACCACAAAATCAGTTATATGAAATTTATATTATGGTTATGGTTTCTTTCAATAGATTGCACTGTTTTGAAATTAGTTAATATTAATTTAGACTTCTGATTTTAGCTTTATTTAAATTATTACATGTTAATTTTCTTCTTGTTCTGTTTAGACTTCGCTGTCACTCAATACTAGTATGGTGTCAATAATTTATTCTTTGTGGAATCTAGTCAAATATCGTTTATTGTAGATTTATTCATGGCCCGTGTGATGGATAATTTCAATAGAAAGCTTGATTTTGGTATGAAAAGTATTTCGCACTGTTGCCCCCTTTCTATCTAGGTATGAGCAAGAAAAGTAAAAGAGAGATTTGGTTGCACTGGAAGCTTTTAAAGTCCCAACTAGATTGTGATTGAAGCTTTGAGGATTTAAATTGGTGGTTTCTAAAAGCATTACCTTGATATATTAAATCTTACATCCTGTTTATACATTTTTTTTTGGTTTCTTGTTTCTTCAATTTTTTTCCAAATAAATAATTGCTACCGTCATCTCAGGAATTAAATGAAGATGCAAGCAATGGATCCACACTTCATGATTCCCAATTTCTCTCAAAGAATGGGCAGCCCAAAGAACTTTTTCTATCTAGTGATGCCAATGCTATTGTTGAACATACTAAAAAGGTTTTGGTGATTGAGGATGGTGAAGTTCTTCATATTAAGGTAATCATTCATCTACATAACTGATTGCCCATGTAGAGTTGGTTTGCGGTTTTTCTACATGAATGGGCAAAAGGGGATCACCACATTACTTTGTTTAACTCTCCTTGTTTGATGCTTAGTTACAAACAGTACTTTCTCAATTTCTTTGCTTTTTATTGTTTCAGGATGGAGGTGTTTCAATTCTAAAGTTTGATAATGCCAAAGGAAGACATGGTGCTGCTCCTTCTAGACCTTCATCAGTCCAACGTGCACTATCCATTCTTGATATGGAGGTTGAACAAATAAATAAAGGAAATTATGAGCATTATATGCAGAAAGAAATTCATGAGCAGCCAGAATCTGTGACAACTACCATGAGGGGGAGGCTTATACGTGGAGGTTCCTGCAAAGCCAAGAGTGTTTTGTTGGGTGGATTGAAAGACCATCTTAAAACTATTAGACGGAGCCGACGGATTGTTTTCGTTGGCTGTGGTACAAGTTACAACGCTGCCCTAGCTTCAAGACCCATCTTGGAAGAACTATCTGGTAAGTGCTGTTTGATTTTCTCTAAAATTTATCAGACTTAAAAATAAAATATACTGATTCTTCTTTTTGTCAAAATTTTATATCATAGATGTCCCTGTTACTATGGAAGTTGCTAGTGATCTATTGGATCGGCAAGGTCCTATATACAGAGAAGATACAGCAGTTTTTGTCAGTCAATCTGGTGAAACTGCAGATACACTAAATGCTTTAGAATACGCTTCAGAAAATGGTGCATTGTGTGTTGGCATAACAAATACTGTTGGTAGTGCAATAGCTAGGCATACACATTGTGGGGTTCATATCAATGCCGGTGCTGAAATTGGTGTAGCAAGCACCAAGGTAAAGAAATCGCACATATAGAATTAGTTCTCGTATAGTTCTGTTTAGTCTGTTAAAATGTTATTGTTATTATTGACAGGCATATACAAGTCAAATAGTAGTGATGGCCATGTTGGCTCTTGCAATTGGAGGTGACACTATATCTAATCGAGCGAGAAGGGAGGCTATAATAGATGGCCTATGTGATTTACCTAGTAAGTTTCAGTTGCTTTTGTTTCGATATTTCATTTTTATTTTTATTTCCTACACCTAAAGTAGTTCTCTCCTTTATATTTTGTTATTGTAGACAAAGTTAGAGAGGTCTTAAAGCTTGATGCTGAAATGAAGGAACTTGCAAAACTATTGATTGCTGAACAGTCACTTCTCGTCTTTGGGAGAGGATACAACTATGCAACAGCGTTGGAAGGTGCTTTAAAAGTGAAAGAAGTAGCACTTATGCACAGCGAAGGGATTCTTGCCGGTGAAATGAAACATGGTCCTTTGGCGTTAGTTGATGAAAATCTTCCTATTGTTGTAATTGCTACTCGTGATGCTTGCTTCAGGTTGGTTCTATTGCGTTTGTAGCAGTAACTTAATCTGAAATTTTTAATGTTCTAGCACTGACATCTTCCAGTCACTTACAGTAAGCAGCAATCTGTTATTCAACAACTTCATGCTCGCAAAGGTCGCCTAATAGTTATGTGTTCAAAAGGAGATGCTGCATCTGTGTGCCCCGGTGACTCTTATCGAGTAATTGAAGTTCCTATTGTTGAGGACTGTCTTCAACCTGTAATTAACATTGTTCCATTGCAGGTATCATCACATCAAATTTCGGATTTATTTGTACTTTATATGTCATTGATTAATTAGCGTAGATTCTTCTTAAAACACGCTAGTGCATTTATATTCTTAAATCTACCAAGGTTTTTCAAAACAAGTTGTGCAGTTAATATATGTTTTCGGACGTTATTTTCTTTCTGAAACATCTAATGCTTTCGCTGTTTCGTTTTTGAGTATATGATTGGTAGGGATTTCAGATTCATAATGATAATAACAACACTTTCTGGGTGCAGTTACTGGCATATCATCTTACCGTGCTAAGAGGTTACAACGTTGATCAGCCTCGGAATCTTGCAAAGAGCGTGACGACCCAGTAAAGAAGCGTATTCGACAAATCTCATGATCATATTATGATTCCTAATCTTGTATAGAAGTAGTAGAAAGCTTACCCACATCCATATGATTTTTCGACCTCATTCTCACCTCAATATTCGTTATTCAATTATGTTGAGAGGTTGTACAATTCAGAAAAATACTAGGCATATTGATGATGGAGGTGGAGAATGGCTTGTGAAATTATGTGTTATCAGAATCTGGAGATTGCATTTTAGAAAGACAGTAGTTTGAAGGCTCTGATTTACATGCTTTGTGTTATAGGGGAAATGATGAATCACTCTTAATTTAATTTGGAGCAATTGAAGGGATACTTGTGGTTTCTTTTTTGTTTTTGAGGATCCAAGAACAATTTGCACTCCATTAAACCTATTGAACTCTACCATAATACCCTTATAATTGTCGTTTCTTATCTGAATTTGACGATAATAATCATTTCTTACCTAGTTCAACCATAATAGTCGTTTCTTGTTTGAGTCTTGGATGAGACGAACATATCAAATGGTTGTACTCGATATGGAGGAATGAGATTAAATGAATCAATTCTTGTTATTTTGACGAGTCTAAGACCTAAATGGTGAGTTCAATTTGTTATCGTTAAACAAGTCTTAAATAGTAAATCAAGTATGATCCGTGTGTTTCGGTTCTAATCGATACACAATGTTTTAAACTAAAACCAGATAAAATGTACATGTTTTAAACTTGAGTAATGCTACAGTTACGAAAAAGGCGTACCGAATTCATGCTCCAATGACTGGCGTAATCCTGACTGTCGATTATATTAACTCATAATTAATCGACGTTAGGATTGAGCCACGTCATTCGGTGCATAATTTGTGTGGCTCCTTTCGAGACTGTATTATTTCCTTTAAACTTAAGCAGATAAAATGTCCATGGTAAATTCAATTCCTTGTCATAATACAAGTCTTAAATTGTTTCATTTTGTATGTATTAAAAGGTAGCACAAACTCTAGGAAGAACTCAGATTTGATATAAGACTATTTAGTATTTTGTCGTGCATTTGTATTCATTAAAAGAAAAGGTTTCTTTTTCAGATTAATATCTTCATTTTGATGAATTATAAGATAAAAATTGTATTATATTTCATTTATTATCATCTTTTATCCCTTTACAATGTTAAACATTACGGCCTATTTAGAGCAATTATTTGAAAAATGTTATTTTAAAAAACTATTTAAGTTGAGTTAGTTGAGTTGAATTAAATCGAATATGATATGATTATGAGAATATGTTTGGTATAATATCTGAAAATTTTTTGGAGTGGATAAAATGTTGAATAGTTTTTGATACATTATTGGAAAATGTTTTCTAAAAATATTTAGATTAATTTAACCCCTTATATTTGTTAATTGAGCTAAACACCCCCCCCCCCCCCCCCCCCCCCCCCCCCCCTTCAACAATAAAACTTTAAAATTAATAAAAAACACCACAGCCACCCGATGGATCGACTACTGGCCACCATATCGGCGGTAGCCGCAATTGCCAGAACATTGCCGACCGATTAGATATGATCGGTCGTGCGTCGATATGACTTTTTCCTACCAATCCACCATGGATCTGCCATTGTCAACGACTAGATAAATTTGGTTGTTAATGGTCAGATTTGACCGTCAACGGTTAGATCTGACTATAGTATAGCCGGAAACAGCCAGATCGACGTACGTTCAACCATATCTGGTCAGTGATGATTGTTAGTAGGCATGGTGGTCTTGTGGATTAATTTTAGATTGGAAGAAGTAAAGTAAATGTTTTTAGTTGAATAGAGTTGGAAAAATGTTTAAAATAGAATAATAGAAACAAGTCCCCTATTTTTATTTTCAATAAAAAAAATCTTATAGATTAAGATTAATTTTCGAATAATATCTTAAAAATAACAAATACACATATTTTGTTTTTTAATCAAATGAATAACATAAAAATGATTAAAAAGAACGAAATAATTAGGGATATAATTCATACGATTTGTTAATTGCTGTCGCTGTTGGACTAAAGTGTTATTTAAGTCAAACCTCGTAGATAAATTATTATTATTATTATTTTTAATTGTTCCAAAAGAGTTAATATTAAGTATGAAGGTCCGGTCAGTTAAAATCCTGACGTTTAATCCTCTTAATAAAATTACTATATACACCCATTTTACCGAGTACACCACACCAATAAAGTATTTTAATTCTAATAGAATTCTAGCCAACATCCAGTTACCCTAAGTCCCCAACCTCATAAACTACCTGAGAGTCTGAGACACGGCGCCACTTAACTACCGTCGCCATCTGCCACTCAACCACTGCTCAATTACTCGAAAACGGAGCTAAGCCGCCGAAGGTGAACGCAGCTGCCGCTAACACAGCCTTGACGCCGATCTCCGTTCAAGTTTCCACAGGTTTCGCTTTCGTTTTACTTTTTCAGTTTTGAAATTTATCAAATAACTTAATTTTTTTTTTTTTACATGAATTCAAGCTATTTTTTCCTTAGAAAAATCCGAATTTCAATTCTAGTTTAACTTGAAGTTTGTTATTCCCGGTACCTGTGAGAACCTCAGGGGAATTCATTAAACTCAAACTTGAATTTAACGTCTTTAATGAACGGATGAGAATGGGACTGTAATATTTTTCTCTCATTAATATTTACCCTTTGATTTTTCTTGGGTTTTGCTGGTGAAAGTGTTTATATTCTTTTTGGAATATTTATAGTGTTGGAGATGAAAGAAAGGATTTTTTTAGTTAGTGCTGAGATATTGTCAGATACTCTCATTTACATATTTGATATTTACTTAGTAATAGCATACCTAATTTTTCCTTGTAATTATGCTCTTAACGGATACTAGAAATAGGATATGGTTTGTTGAGATCATATTAGTAAAAGGATGATATTTAGATATAAAAGTGTAAGAAAAAATTTATTCAATTTCTATGTTGAGAACTATGTGCAAAAAATTTGATAACATATTAGCATTAGACGATCTGGAGAGTTTTTATATAGGATGATCGATGATGAATGATACAAATGCTATTTAAAAGTTTGCCGGCTACGTATGTATCTCTTAAATATAATTGTAAATCTTGATAATAGTTGAGTAGATGAGAGAAAATAAATCTACAAATGGATATTATAGTATGATTTCATTCAGTAAATGATAACTTAAGAAGAAATATCCTTGACTCGAGAATGAAATTCTAGATTTCTTTACAATTTCAAAGACTAGACAATAAATGCAGGACAGATATTGTTGACCTACTTAACGTTATTTTAAGATGATTTTTATGATTAAAGTTACTTGATACATAAAGAATTATTCAACATAGTAATCTTTGGATTGTAAGCCTTTTCTTTTGGTGCTTAAAGTTGAAGTTACTCAACATCATGTACAATAAGTTCATTCGATTATAAATCGAAAAGAACGAGGGGTAATCATACAATATAAATCATGTTAAAGAAGACAAAATCCTTATGAAACTTCTATATGTAAACAAGTGGTAATTATTTTCCTGACAAAGAGAGGAGGATGGGAAATTAATTCATGGGGATAATTGGATCATGGAAGGTTAAGAATGCCTACCATTGTTACTATAATTTAGTAGTAGAAGTAGTAGAAAATATAACACGCCTTCACTTCAATTAGAACTAGGCCAGAGATTGCAGTAACCTTCTTTGTTATAAGCCCAATTCGAAGCTACACGATTTGGAATGTAGGTGTGTATTCATTGAAGTAAAATTTCCATCTTTGGGGTTATGTTTTTCATATTTACTTGACGGGTTCTTCTGGTTTTCTAATTTTTAAGTTGGTTTTTTTTTTTTTGGGTATATGTGTGTTTAATTTATAGTTTCATTTGTGAAACAGGTTCTTGAAGGAAGGATATTAAAGCTTTTTTAGAAGACAATGGGGAGGCTGAAGCTCTTTGATGATGAACAAAACAAAGATGATGTGTCAAAGATTGAGATTAATAAAGAATATGCAAAACGATTTGAGCACAATAAGAAGCGAGAAGAGCTGCAAAGGTACGAGGAGTTGAAGAAGAAAGGCGTGATTGAAGAATCAGATGAAGACTCTGATGATGAATCGATAGATTTGGAGGAAGGCAATAATGATTTATTGGGGCCTAGCAAACAAGACTTGGAGTTTTTTAATGTACTGTTGAAAGTGAAGAAGAAGGATCCGATTATTAAGGAAAAAGATGCTAAGCTTTTTGAGTCTGAATCAGATGGGGGTGAAGAGGAAGAAGAAGAAAGTGAAAATGATGAAGAAGGGAAGAAGAAGAAGAAAGTAATGTATTTGAAAGATGTGATGGCAAAGCATTTAATTGAAGAGGGGCCTGAGTTTGAGGATGAGGAAGAAGAAGAGTCTGGTGAGAAAAAGAGAAAGAAGAAGAGTTACAGTGAAGAGCAAGAGGAGATACGGAAAGAGTTTTTAAATGCAGTGAATGAGGCTGAAGGAAATGAGGAAGATGATGATGGTTTTTTGAAAGAGAAAAAGAAGGAAAATGATCATGAAGGAGATCTGGAGGATGACAATAATGATGAGTTTGTTAAGAAATTGGATGAGTATTTTGGTGGGGATGCTGAGTTGGATGAGAACAAGATGTTTCTGAAGGAGTTTTTTAGAAATAAGATGTGGATTGATAAGGAAAGGAAGGATAAAGAATTGGATGTTGATGATGAGGTGGAAGATCTGTTGAGAGAAGAGGAGGAGCTTGAAAGACAAGAGCAGTATGAGACAAATTTTAGGCATGAGGAAGGGGTGGATGATAGAGTAATGGGTTACTCAAGGAAAATAGAGGGGTCAGTAAGGAAGAAGGATAATGCTAGGAAAGGGCAGAGGAAGAGTAAAGAGGAGAGGATGAAAATTGCAGAGATGGAGAGAAAGGAAGAGTTGAAGCATTTGAAGAATTTGAAGAAGAAGGAGATGAAAGAAAGAATGGAAAAGGTGATGGCAATTGCAGGATTTAAGGAAGAGGAAGATTTGTCTCTAAATTTGAAGGATTTGGATGATGATTTTGATCCCGAGGAGTACGATAGGATGATGAAGGCAGTGTTTGATGATAAATATTATGGTGCTGAAGATGTGAACCCTGAGTTTGGCAAGGAGGAGGAAGAAGACCAAGGTGATATTGAGAAACCAGATTTTGATAAAGAGGATGAGTTGCTTGGACTTCCTAAAGGTTGGGATGTGATTGAATCAGGTGATGGATTTAAGGCTGCCAGGGAAAGAAGTTTAAAACATAAATTAGAAAATGGTGATGATGAAGATGATGATGATGATGGTGATGAGGATGATGACGACGACGACGATGATGACGACGACGACGACGACGACGATGGTAATGAAGGAGAAAGAGAGGGCAGAGAGGAAGAAGAAGAGGTTCCTGAGGAGAGCAAGAGGAAGAGGAAACGTAAAATGTCACTTGTACAGAGAGCTAGAGAGGAAATGCTTGAGGAGTTCTATAAGTTGGACTATGAGGATACTATTGGAGACATAAAAACGAGGTTCAAGTATGCAAAGGTAAAACCTAATAGGTATGGATTGAAGACTGAAGAGATATTAATGTTGGATGACAAGGAGTTGAATCAATATGTTTCTGTGAAGAAGATTGCTCCTTACAGGGAGAAAGAATGGAAGGTACCTGATAGTAAGAGGTATCAGCAAAAATTGAAGAATAAGGAGCTTCTCCAAGGACATAAGTTGGGTGACCGGAAGAATGGGAAGAGGAAGCGATCAAAGGATGATGGTGAAAAATCAACATCAGAGATTGGTGCCAAGGGAGATGGGAAGGCACAATTTGAAGAACCAAATGTTGATACGGACAATTTGTCCAAGCGTGCCAAGACAAGGCGTCGTCAAGCAAACCCCAAACTGTCTCACTCAAGGCTTGTTGCATATGGCAAGATTCCTTCTAAAGGAAAGAGTAAACACTGAACACCAGCACTGATTCAGGCCAAAGGCAGTAGAGGAGGTAATTCCTGAAGCTGACTAAATTTTAGTTAATTTAATGTTTTGCACTTTGCAGCTTCTTTTTTTTGTGGTATATCTGCATTACATGCTGCTGGCACTAATAGAAAAGAAAATCTTATTATTCTGACAGGAAGTTAAAAGTATTACCAGGAATTGAGATTTTGCTTAGATGGGTTAGAACTCAAACTTTTGTTTATCAAATTATACTATTGGGCTTGATTTAGCTCGTTTGATAGTTTTATTTCTAGATACTCTTTTTATAGTACAATCATTCACTTCAAATAGTTGGTATAGAAAATTTTAATTATTTGGCTCTTCAGTTATGATGTTAAAATTTTTCATTCATAATGTATTCTATGAAATCTTTTTCTTTGAAAATATTTTTGAAGGTTTTTTTTTTCTCTTTTTTCTTTTGGTTACTGGGGTATTCGGGTCAGCTTACGCGCACCTCGACTAGTCCTTCGACCTCGAATAAGGCTTCCGAAATAGGACAAACCCTGCGGTCCGTGTCCAATAATATTAGCAACCGTTCTTGTGAGTCGAAGTTGAGACCACAGGGGGAGCAAACCCTTTGACCCCAAGCCTTTACCACTCTTTTGTTTGTTATATTCAACATGTTCCACCGAAATCTTTTTCTTCCTTTAAGTGATTGGCTGAACTGAACATCATATATAGTTTATTTGAAAATGCTTTCTAAGGTGAACTGTATAGGGGGCATAATTTCTATAGCATTTCTTAAGGGTGAATCAGTTTAATTTTATTGTCTATAAAGGATTTTGTTGTCGGCTTGTTTGATAATTACTCAGATACGATAAATACAATCAATGTTTACGGCAATGAATCAAATGAAGGTTCATTAAACTCACTACCTCAATGGTGTTACATTTGACTTTTATTTTATCATGAATCATGTAACTTTCATTCCCCTCCTATCGATCCAAACTCTAAGTTCTATAAATGTAAATGGAAGAATCATAGCATAGTAGATTATGATGTGTTTTCTCATTAAATTCATTCGACTTGCAGAGCATCTTTCCGGTGATTTGATACTGCAACATCAAAGCATCCCCAATTAAAAGTAATTTGTGAGTTTTATCAATTTATATATTCTTACTCATCATTGTCATTTACTTCTAAGTCTCGGAAAGTCTTTTAGCCTATATCTACGATCACGCTTGCCCTTTTATATTGTAAATACATGATCTAGACATAATCAGGAATATATCTTTCTATGCTTCAACTTCACGACTCATGATCTTCAAAATTGGCTGATATATCAGTTTTGGTTGCACAGGCCATCCCTAATATTATTAATTATTACAGGGGACATCAACTTTGCAAAGAGGCAAGAGGCTGAGGAATGTTTTAGGTAATTTTTTATGAGTAAAGATCAAGAGTATTTTGGAAGAATGTTGAGTTATAAAAAATTTTGCCATTTTTTTGTACCATTTGTTAAATTATCTCTCTTGTTAATTTGTATTACCTGCTTCCAAATCTTGCTATAAATGAAAATTTTCGATTGTTGGTTCGATTACATCAGTTTTTAATGGTGCTCATTAGTATTATCGTTGTTGTTATTGTTATTTGAACTTGGTTTAAACAATGTTTATATAAATCGAGCTCCTTTGGTAGACTCCGTTGCCGCGGTGTCACAAGAAATTAGCATTATTTTGTTTATGAATTCGTTTTGTGTTTCGTGAGAATTACCATGAATATATTTTAATTCAATGTGTGCCCAACAAATTTCAATACAATTATTATATACCATGAATATATTTTAATTCAATGGTGCTTATTAGCATTAGCATTATCGTTGTTGTTATTGTTATTTGAACTCGGTTTTAACAATGTTCATATAAATCGAGCTTCTTTGGTAGACTCCGTTGCCGCGGTGTCACAAGAAATTAGCATTATTTTGTTTATGAATTCGTTTTGTGTTTCGTGAGAATTACCATGAATATATTTTAATTCAATGTGTGCCCAACAAATTTCAATACAATTATTATATACCATGAATATATTTTAATTCAATGGTGCTTATTAGCATTAGCATTATCGTTGTTGTTATTGTTATTTGAACTCGGTTTTAACAATGTTCATATAAATCGAGCTTCTTTGGTAGACTCCGTTGCCGCGGTGTCACAAGAAATTAGCATTATTTTGTTTATGAATTCATTTTGTGTTTCGTGAGAATTACCATGAATATATTTCAATTCAGTGTGTGCCCAACAAATTTCAATACTATTATTATGTACTTTCAGTATTGAAAAAGTATTTGGTGAGACGGATATACCATGTCATTGACACCTTTGATAAAATCTTATTGGTGTTTTATGTAGATTGTTAGGTGGAGGAAATAGAAATAGAAAATAAGTGTATATGCTCATCCAATTGGATAGACCTTGTCATTTACATTTTTAACAAAATTGATCAATGGTGATCGTGTGTAAGTTGAAGAAAGAGGAAAATGTGTATATGTGATTAATTTTGATCAGAGAGACTCATAAATGACTACCTTATGAGATTGTATTATTGTAAAAAACTGATGGGCTTGGTTGTTTCATTATTTTTGCCATATCCTATTCTTATTCTGTTCAAAATACATATTTGTTTTTCTATTCTCAAAATTAAATCTTATTATATTCAACTATTTTTAGACCCTCTAAGTTTGTTAATTTAACTGAACACTCCAACAAAAATGTTTATAGATTAACAAAAACACTTTTATCCACCTACATTTGTCAGATTTCGGCTATCCCCGTCAGAAGGTGGTTGAAATCTGGCATAATGGTGCACTATCGATTGGATTTAGTTGGTAGTGCGTCGATCTAACATTTTTTGATCAGATTTATGACGAATCTGACCGAAAAAGGTTAGATTTACGGCCAAAGATCTGGCTGTTAACGGTTAGGTCTTTAGCCAGATCTGATTGTTAACAATAGCCATATCTTTAGCCATCGTTGACGACCAGATCTGGCTGTGAACAACTAAATCTGGTCGTTTCTAGTCAGATCCATCATTGATCTGGTCGGAAAATGCCATATTGATGCACGATCGGTCAGATCCAACCGGTCGTGTACCATTCTTGCAGATTTCGGCTACCTTCTGATGGTGGTGCCGACTTCTGATAATATGTGGGTGGATGGGGTTGTTTTTGTCAATTTATAAACTTTTTACTGTAATGTGTGTTTCGGAGACCTCGACGATGTGCGTGCACGAATTCAAGGTCTTCTTTTTTTGTGGTACGCCGCTTTCTAGGTTAACATTTGAATTACTTCCTTTTAGTGAAAAAGCACAATGAGATTAACTTATATTATAACATTTCCCATATTTTTCAAATGTCCATTACATCAATCTTCCTAAATTAACAAACGTAGGAAGTATTTTTTTTAATTTTCAAATTCTACCTCATAATAACAATCCAATTTAGTTTTTTCAAAAATACTACTCAAGAATAAAATAAACACAGTCCATATCTTTGTCTTCATAGATATATCTATTCAATAATATATCATTGGTGATCCAAAGAGAACAAAAAATAAATAAGTACATTGTTATGCCCGGGAAAATGAGGGGCTGACGTGGGAAAGTCACGTGAAGGGTGACCTGCTCCCGTCAGAGCAACGCGCACACGTCAGACCTGCCAAGTGATATGGAGCTCACATGCGTCCATTTCCCTGCAATAAGTCGTGCGTTGTCAGCTTGGGAAAAGGAAAATGAGACGTAAAGCCGGATTACATCCTGACAATCACACCAAACCATGGATTTGGTGATGATTATACACTTTAGTTTGATATAAAACGAAGAAGACCCCCATCCATAGGGGATTCGGCCATTTTTCATACAAAAAATCTCTCTCCTGAATCATTTTTTGACTTTTTCAACTTATGTAAGTCAGCTCACAACCGCGACCGACCCACACTAATATCAATACAATCAGTGGACGTAGACTTGCTACCTTAGCATCCGAACCACTAAAAAACTCCTTTTGCATTTATTTCGCTTTACATATTCCATTTTCACGGTATTAACGGGCCAATCAACGTTACACACATGAAAATTGTTGGTGCTTGAACTGAGCATCCCAGTTTGGCGCTAGAAGGGGGCAGGCTGATTTAGTGTCTACCCTTCATCAGAGAATCTTTGACCTACTGGTCTTACAGCTACAATGGCCCGCCATCTGAACCTGAGCAGGGGAACTGCATGCTGAAGGAGTCCCCCTGGCCCAGAGGACACCCCTTCCAACATACCTCAATTTCGCAAAATGCTGCTGGGAATACCCAGCAGCCCCGCAATTGGACCCTGCCATCAGAATACCTGGAGAGGTTCAACAATACTCTCCAAACGGTCAACCAGAGGTTGGACAGTCTGGACCAAGGCATGTCATCTACGACAGCCGGACGGTACAACCGCCAAAAACGTCTGCAGTCGCCGAAAGCGCGGCAAAGGGCTATACCCGTGCCGCGAGCACTGCACGCGTAAGCGCAAGTAAACAAGTGGCAAAAAATAAGCCTACGGGCTCCCAGGGCCGGCGAATACCAGAGGTGCCCCTAGCAGGGTATCACGCAAGCTGAGACTTGGCAAAGAGTGGACCCCGAGCTGTCCCATGCCACGATGCAGCAAACCCAAGCAAAAATGCTGGGCATGGTGGTCCCGATCACCAACAGCAGAACGATCCCGATCGTTATGCGGAGGCCCTCACACCTCGCGGCGGTTCGTACCACCGCGAGGGTCGTGAAAGTGCCCCTCACAACCCATCGTCTTCACACGCCTTTATTTAGCTGTTGTCAAGTGCGGCCGGAAATGCCGGCCGAGACGAGGAGGAATCCGATCTCCGGACTGTCCTGAACCGCAACCGAGAAGGGAGGGCTCGCGACGTGAAAATAACCCCAATTGGCTCCATTACCGCAAATTGAGGAGCTGCAGCGAGCTCTGGACAGTTTAAGGAGCAGCAAACGAACAGGCGCAGGTCCCTCTACATCCCCATTTTCTCCGGAATGCTAGCTGCCCACTTCCACCAGGTTCAGAATGCCAGATATGCGCCGTTTGATGGAAACTATGATTCACAGGATCATTTATATGATTGTTAACGACCTGATGGAGCTCCACCAGGTTTCGGACCTCGCGAAATGCCGTTGTTTGGTTGTGACTGACTTCTCACCAAAAGGTGGTTAAGGTCGCTCCCAGCGGATCGTCAGTTCGTGCCCTCAATGACACGACGTTCTTACGGCATTTCCAAGCCAACCGGAAATTTTCAATGCCTTTGAGCTACCTCAGCAACATAGGCAGAAAGAGACGAATCCCTGCAGTCTTACTTGACCGCTTCCACAGGGAACTCAACAAGGTGGCTCATGCCCCAGAAGATTCCATCCAACTCTTATATATCCGGAGTTCGCCCGCAAACCAACCTGTGAAAGGAGCTGCAGGCTGAGGACGATATTTCCTTCACCAGATTCTACAACCTGGCGGAAAAGTATCTCCGAATAGAAATTCATTGGCGGCACTTCACCGTCCGATCACGGCCCCTCTAGCAATATGTCAGGTCGGGGAGATAATAGCGAGCTGATCGTAAAGGAGACAATGACATCAGCGAAAAGGGAAGAAACCCCGCTACGAGCAGAAAAAGTCCTATGCTCCTGTTCCTCGTCACGACCGCGACGCCCCATACACTCCGCTGAATGTTTCCATATCTGCGATCCTCGACAAATCCAGGAAGCTAGTCTGCTCGGTGAGCCAGAACCCATGAAACTCCTGCAACGGCCAGAAATAGCAGAAATATTGTCGTTACCATGGGATAACGGGCATCACACTGATGAATGCCGAGATCTAAAGCAGGCTATTGAAGAGCTTATTAAGAAGGGCACTTCAAAGAGTACATTGATGACTCCCTGAAAGAAAACCAATGGGAGCGAAAGAACAAGCGCCGTGACGCAGCGGTACAGCAGTGTGAACCTAATTTTTGGAGGTCCGCACCTCGCTGAAACACGCGGGGGCACAGGACAGGTATGCTTGGGAAGCACATCATGACTCATCAGGGTCATGAGCACATCGCAGCGACCTCAGAAAGTCAGGAAGGAAGAACCAATCACCTTCTGCGAGAAGGAGGCAGCTCGCTTGCACCACCCACACGAGGACGCTCTGGTAATCACACCCCTGATTGGATGTCATAATGTCTGCAAATGCTTGTGGACATGGGAGCGCTGTAACATTCTGTTCAAGTCCGCTTTCGATAAATAAACTGGTCGAGGCCGACCTGAAGCCAGCCTCGATGCCTCTATACGGTTTCACAGGGGACCACCTATCCCCAGCGGAACAATCCAACTCCCAGTCACGCTCGGCGACTACGACGGTGGACTAGGGTTACGAAATTCCTGGTCGTGGACTGCCCATGGCCTTCAATGGAACCTAGGGCGACCTCTACTGAGAACCTTCAGGCAGTTACTTCCATTTATCATCTCAAGATGAAGTTCCCCACTCCGTCGGGGATCGGGAGGTAAGCGGGTCGCAAAGCGCATCACGCAATGCTATGTAAAG